GGTTTGGTCTGCCAAACCAGATGAAGTCCACGTTTTTGTGGACTTTTATGGACCTTTCTGCCTCGGGCGCTGGGCACCTCCATTATTTGAATGTCAGCAGACAGCAAGAAGCCTCCCAGATCTCCAGATGCATTTGAGATATCAAAAAAGTACTCCAGAGCGTTGTTCAGCATGGGGGTGAGTAGAAAATGAAGGCTAGTCATGTTTTGGGTGTACTATTCCTTTAAAGCCTTTGATTGAGCCATGAGCTATTTTGTATACTAGACTGTTTTTAAGCAAAGTTCAAAGTGCAACTGTTTGCACAAACTGGATCAGCAAACAGTACTGCAAATCTAAGACCAAATAACTCTGAACAATAAATCAGGTAAAATAGCCCAGTTAAAGTCCAGACCTTAACCTAATTGATATGCTGTGGTTAGACCTGATGAGGCCTGTTCACAAAATGAACTCTGTAACTGGAGCTTGTTGCGAAGAAAGGAGTACTAAAATTCCCTCAACACTGATTATATACAAATTTTATCCCTCTCAGGTTTCCTATTAGGCTTTCATCTTTGTCTACTAAAATATAATGAAATGATAAAGGGTGTGCCTTATTTTTAATGTGGAACTTGAATTTTAGGACTTTTTCAGAGATATTTTTAGGATGAATGTTTGTTTTTTTTCTGACCTTCTAATGTTTTTTCACCCAAGGTCTAGTTTGATCTGCACTGAAATGAACTCTCCGCCACCAGTGCTGAATGTGATGCTCTGAGCATGTTTGATGTGAAATCTCTTCTTATCTTTCCCCTGCCACATCAGTGTGCCCACAGGGCGCCATGAGAGCTGTAATTACCTGAGATCTTGTTTTGATACGGGACAGAGATGCTCGGTATTTGGGGACAATCAGTGTTTTTTTCTATTTCTGTCACCATGCCCCTCTTCTCTCCACCTTTCTCCGTCCTCACTCGCTTCTACGCTTGAAGGGACAGCGTCTCTGTCGTGATGGCAGCGTAAAGAAAGAGAGACAGAGAGAAAAAATCTACTCCTTTTATTTTTTCCCCCCTGCTCAGTATTTTTCACACTTGACAATTTCAACTAAACAAAATGTAAAGGCGGCTTGGCCCTGTTTGGTATTCATTGTTTCCAGGGTGGTATTTTGACAGGGCTTAATCATCTGTAAAAGCAAACTATCACTGCTTCTGCATGAATTAACGCAGTGTACGTTATTATGCAAGAAGAGTAGGAGGTGGAAGGAGTGCTTCATGGAGTCTGTGGCCTGAAGGAAAAAAGAATTACACAAATAGCAAGGCAAAGGATCTCATGAATACACTACTGCTGCTGCATCTACCTGCTGGAAGATGCACATATTGTCAGCTGAGCATGATAATGACTCCTCATCATTCAAGGGAGAAACAGTTTTAGAAAGTGACATATCATTATAAGTGTTAAAGAAAACTTAGAAGTTTATTGGAGCTTGAGAACAAAAGATGCATTAAATGTTCATGTTAATCCATGCAGGACCTTATCCATCCCCAGCAGTTAGTTGCGAGAAGTGGAGTATACCCTGTTCAACACAGAGACAGCCATGTGTTATAGGACTGTAGATAATATAGAGCTGAAACAATGGATCCGATTAATCATTATTAATGGATTATTTAAATAATCGTCAACTACTTTAGTAATTGATTAATCGATAACTGGAGTCCAGAGAATCTAAAACATGTTTTTAGCTGACTTGAGCTAACTTTAGCAGCAATTATACCAAAATAGTAAAAGTAATATGTAAATATTTAGCATGTTAGCTAAAAAAAACACTTCCGTCTGTCAATATGCTCTATCTAGAACTCCTCAAGTGGAAAAGTTTAGTTTCACCTGTTTACTCTCATAAATTTTTTTCTTTAATGAAACTTTTGCTATCTGATTATTAATCGATTAATCGAAAAAGAAAATTGACAGACTAATTGATTTGCAAAATGATCGTTCTTTGCAGCCCTAATAGAACACCAGAGTACCCTGAGAGAACCTCCTTATGTAAAGTGAGAATATACAAACTCTGTGAAGAAATACGGAAATACGGTGAAATGGGATTCTAACCCAGGACATACCTCTTGTAACACAGATGTGCTAGCAATTGGCCTCACAGGTTATTCTATTTTTTCTTAAAGTTGTCCTTTAACTGGGAATTTTGAGCTTTTTGCTAAATCTTTTTTTTTTATCCATGCATTGTCAAAATATATTTGCTTAATCATATCCCTGACAGACCAACTCAGATATAGAGTACCTTGGTAGAGTCACTGCCAAGCTTGATACTCGGTAGTATTCAGTTTCTAATTAAAATAAAACAAACCTTGATGTATATCAACATTAATTCAGACAAGACATATTTTTGACAACCTGTATTAAATTAGCTTTATACTGGTTAGCCTTTAAGGTCCTTTGAGAACATTTCAGAGGGACCTGGTGAAAAACAGTAACATAGATGAAAGGTCATATCTGCCATCTAAAGAAAGGTGTTTGTTCTTCTTCTGTTACAGATGGGCCATACTGCCAATTGGAGGATCGTGACATCACTGTGAAGTTGAAGACTGTGTAATTTTTCTAAAAGAACCTTAGAGCCTGATCTGCATTGTTTCTATTCAGTTCAATCTACAAATCCTCTGTTTGGATTTGCTGAGCTGTTATCACCTTTTGCTGAATGCACCTTTCAAACATGGAGACTCTTTCCCAGGACTCAATTCTAGAGTGCCAGATCTGCTTTAACTACTACAGCCCCCGGCGACGACCCAAACTCCTGGACTGCAGACACACCTGCTGCTCAGTTTGTCTGACCCAAATGCGAAGCACCCAGAAAGAAATCCGCTGCCCTTGGTGCCGGGGCGTCACCAAACTGCCCCCCGGCTTGTCCGTCTCTCAACTCCCTGACGACCCAGACATAATTACTGTCATCGCCATCCCTCACGCCTCGGAGCACACGCCCGTCTTCATCCGCCTGCCCAGCAATGGCTGCTACATGCTGCCGTTGCCCATCACCAAGGAGCGGGCGCTTGGCCTGCCGGGGGACCTGGGATGTCGCTTCCTGCCGGGCGGCCAGCAGAAGGGGGTGACGGTTGTGACGGTGCCCGAGCAGCAGCCTCTTGGCCTGGCTATGGGTCTAGAGGCGGTTGGGCTGGATGGAAGCGAAGGCGAGAGGAGAGTTCCCGGCCAAGTGGGAGGAGGAAAGGGTTCCACATGGTCTGGTGTTTGCACGGTTATTTTAGTGGCATGTGTGCTGCTGTTCCTGTTGGGGATCGTGCTGCACAACATGTCCTGCATTTCCAAACGCTTCACTGTTATCTCCTGCGGCTGAGGGAGACCTCCTCTCTCTCCTCTCTGGCCCTGCCTCTCCTTAGGGACCAACCCTCCTGAGGAGAGGAGACTAAACTGAACACCATGGGCAAATTAGGCTGCAGCAGAGCAAAGGGGGAGTAATGTCAATGAGAGGACAAAAAGGAGACGGTTAGTTTTTAGTTTTGGAACTGGAAATTTGATATATGGTTTCAACAAGCTCTCTGTTGGTAAAAAAAAACAAAAAAAACTGCCATTTCTCTCTGTTTCCTTTATGTTCCCTGATAGAATGCTCTATAAGTCACTATGGATTTGTTATTAGAACGTCGATTGTGTTTTCTGTCTGTCACAAAGACACAATAACCCTCAAACTGACTGGAATGCCTGTTTACTCTGCTGTGTAGAACTTACTAACCTATCTGTGTTTTAAACCAAGGCTTTGAACTTTGTGGCTCCAGGTGCTCTGGAATACCTGGAACCTTGGTTTTCCGATTCTGTAAAGAATTACCTAAAGGGGTCCATATCTTCCCATCTTTTTCTTTTTTTCCACTTTTAAGCAACCTGATTAGAAAGAAATGTTGAATAGTATATTGTACAGCTGAATTCTACATCACTATCTCTGAGATGCTTAAGGATTGTGAATGTGTGAACTTTTGTTCAAGGTTTTCGTTATTTGAGTTTCCTCTTAAGTAAAAACATTCATTTGTTCTAGCCATAAAGATCTCAATGTCTCTTTGGGTTTTGACTTTAAGGTTGCACAAACTAGGCAGTCTTGAGGGCTAATTATTCCCCTCCAGATACTGTAGAATACAGGTGTAAATGTGGGCCAAACCTGAAAGATTCCTAGCTTATATTTGTGTGACATAGGGACCTCCTCACTTCCCTAGCTGCCGCTAGGAGCCATATGGTTCTTCACCAGTTTTTACGTGTCCTATAGGCACAGCCCATCTCACAAAAATGAACAAAAATACATCAGCTGTTGGATACATTTGTGTAATTTTTTATTTTTTTCTGTTATGTTTAAAAAGTCTGTAGTCCCAACTTGCCCAGCATCATGGTCTATTGCTGGTGGACATAATCAGGTCCATAAGGATAAAGGCAGTCTGGATTCAGCACAGGAGTGCTCCTTTCCTACCCTGGATGGAGTTAGGACCTAGAAGCTACAGTTTTTCAGAGTTAGCCTCTAAGTCACGGGTGTCAAAGTGGTTCCAGAAAGGGCAGACTTCAGTCATCTCATCAAGTGAGTCCAATATGAACCATGACTTGATGAGATGACTGGAGTCTGCTTTGCTATTGCTTTGTTGGAAGACAACCTGCAGCCACACGGCTCCTTTCTGGAACCAGTCTGACACCCCTGCTCTAAGCTATATGGGGTGAGGTTGACAACTCTGATGAAATCTTGGTTCATTAAGAGTGGAACTATGGGATCCCCTCTTGGGGTTGAATCTCTCTGCACTGAGATTGGCTGAGGGGGTGAGTCTAACAATATTACAATGACGCCATAAAAAGCTGTTTGGAAGATATCATCTGGCAATAGTTTCATCAGTGTAGCCAAAAGACTGGACTCTGTTACCTGACCAATAAATAGTCTTAACAGATGTGGAAACAATGTGACAGTTAAAAAATAAAACAGCTGTTGACTTTTTTTGTGCTAATCTGATCATTTTGAAGGTATATCACTTTTAGAGAGATTCAGCATTGTTTCAAATTTCCTCCGTGGATATAGGCTCTCACCGTGTCCTGCTAGAGTTCCTAATTATGATGAATTTGTGGTAATCCCTTTGCAGAGGGATAACTTTTTGGTTCAACACAGGTTCTGTTTTATTGATTTCCTACAGGTTGGACAATAATCAGACCAGCTTGTGATTTTTTTTCTTGCCAAAAAATATATTTTGGAAATATGTTTCAAATCTGTTCAACTTTCTGTTGAAATACATTTAAATATTTTGTTTTCTACATGCGGTTACAGTGCTTGATATATAAATATTAGTGTCTCAAAATTAATTTCTGTTCGATTAAAGAAAATACTAAGGAGGAATTCCTTATTTCAGTTTATGCAGAGAAATATCCTACTGG